AATCTTTCTGGTTATGATAAATGACCAGAAGGGCGCATTACAAGCCCCTGCAAAACCCTGAAGAGAATAAAGAAACCACTAAGCCAACTAAGGTCTACACATGATTACTAGCTCTAGGAACCAGTTTAGTAGAAGCAGAAACCAAGAACAAAAAGGAAAATAATCAATCGAACTAATGACTTCACCACTAAAAGTTAGAGCCGCCAACTAGAAACGCAAGCTCAGAAACACCTGCTTATCAGAAACATGCTTACATCAAAACAAGAATGAAAATTTAAAAAATCATACTTCACACAAATAACATTAAACACTACACTAACATTGATTATATACACGTTCCTCTTCTCATAATATAAACAATCAACACCATCTCTTATTTTGTCGACATGTTCTTTTTTTTTAATACTATAGCTTCCTCGCTAGATACAATATAACTTTATAACACGGATAAAAGGAACGAATGATGGTCAACCAAAGACCGAACCATCAACAAGAGGGCTTGCTTTGCCACAAGAAGACGCAAAATATCTAGTTCTCCAAATCTGAACAGGAATATAAAATAAAAAAAAGGCGGCCTTTTCCCCTTTTTCTTTTAGCTTTCAATTTAGGGGAGCGAAGAGTATCGTCGGAGTTTTGGAGGGGCTATGTTGGCATTAACTACAGGGTTTAAGCAGAAGCTCGTCCGTGGTTCTCTCGTCAGACTTCCCTGGCGGAGTGGCGGTGGATGGATCAGGACTCTTCTTCAAGGCGGCCGAGTGGATAATGATGGCGAGATTTGTGTACACAAAAGTGGCGGGTGACCTCTGTTTTGCAGGCGAGGAGAAAAGAAGGAGGCGGCGATCCTAGGGTGATGGGGGTTGGCGGAGATCGGCAATTCCGGCCGTGACGTTTCTTCTCCCTTCTGGCTCTCTGGGCAGTCTGTGTCGGTGGCGGTGGGGCGGTGGATGGATAACCATTCTTCCTCATGGCGGTGGAGTCGATAACTCTCCCGAAACTTGTTCATCCAGAAGCAGCAGGGTTGAAGACACGTGGCTTTGCCACTATCCCATTCCAGCGGGACGCCAGGATTTGGCTTTCCCGGGTTTTGCCGGGAACCAATACGTATTCGAGCACTTGGGCCACTCTCATGGGCCTATTGGGCTGGGTCTATTTTTGTGTTTGTTGTTTTGCAGGTGCAACGACCTTCTTCATGCTTGGGCTTTTGATGGAGTTTGACTATCGAATTGCAGCTGCTGATGAGGTGTCACTAGTGGCACCTGGGCCTATTGGACCGGGACTATTTTTGTGTTCATTTTTTTGCAGGTAGCTTGCCTAGGTGGAGGCACGGAGCTTTGATCAAGCTATAACCTCATCTGTGGAGGTTTACAAGGGTGACTCTTCCTGCCAGAACGGCAAAGATTTGCTTCGACCTTAAGTGGATTTCGTCCTTAGCAAGCTGGATCATTTCATTGCCCAGTTAAATTCCAAACTAGGCCAAGTAAATGGAAGAGGCTATTCCTCGTTGTCTCTTTCAGGGGCCTCGCTCCTTAAATCGCCGCTGCAAAACAGAATTTGCATATAAGATGGTCTAAAAGAGCAGCCGGCCGATCCCCAAGTTTTTCCAGGAATCAAAATCTTGAGCTTAAGTGGAGGGGAATCAGACATTGAACGAGAGGAAATAATGCTTTGACTGGGACATAAGGAAAGAACTCGACCTAAGAGTTAGGTCAATTACTTCTAAAAAAAAAGTAAGAACTGAAACATTTTTTGTGAGTCATTAATGAATGATATATTAGAATGGTTCTATGCATGGAACGAGAAATCTTGTGAATGTTAGCAATACTCTAAAGCATATATGAATGCATATTCTATGATAAATATGCTAGTGAAATGGGTTGTATGCCCATATTAGTTTCATGGAAGAAGTACTGGTTGTCAGTACTAAAGGTGCCATTTGTGCGAGATTGAACATAAAAGGTTCAAGAATCATAATAGAAAACCGAATCAGTTTCACACCAATTAGAATGGTACCCCTTGTGGTAACCAAAGGATCATCGGCCAATCCTCTAAGAATGACGCTTTATTCCTCTGCAATAGTTGCGGGAAATTAGGTCCTATAACACGAAAGTGTATGAACAAGTATAACATTGGCTCTAGGGTTCACTCGATTGAAAAGAAGGATTGATGGTCGTGTTGATTGTGAAAAGAGCAGAGATTAACCTTGCCGGTAACTCTGAAAAATGGTGGCTGGTTAGTGGTTAAGAAAGTATTGCCACTGCTGAATCTACTGGTCATGCATACGATGATATGTTTTAAAAGTTAATATGATGAATCCTTACGCGTATGTCATGCATTATAGAAGAATTGAATAGCTAAGATCACATTATTTTGACATGGGTATACATGATGAGTTGCTTACTTGGAATGATTTGAAATGCTTTCTGACATAATTGTTGATTGCTCTGATTACTTGGCTATCTAATGTTAGAATTAGAGAATCAGTGCAATATGATTAAAAGTAAGCATATGATTGTGTGTTTATTGGATATGTTACAGAAAAACACATAGACCTCATAACTTGAGTACTCAGTTTATTATGGAATCCATTGATGCCAATAGACTTTCATTTAAAATCAAGAAATAGTAGGGGTTGTTTTTAACCTACTATTAGAAATAATGGAACTAGTGGGGGTGATGAATATGAGTATAAACTCATAAGAGACAAATGAACCATAAATCACTCAAGGATTTTGGTTTTGAATTTGTTATTTACACTCTAAGAAAGATCTTACAAGTCTGCTAGAAGTTCGAACTTCCATAAAGATGCAAATTTGTGGGAGAATCCATTATTAACGAAATGGAAATTGTGGAGTCTAGTAAGACTTAGAATCTTGTAGAGTTACCTCTTGGTTGTCAAGCCTTGGGTAATATATGGCATCTTTGAGAATTACCTCCTGGCAATGAAGCCAAGGTAATAAATGGATTCCTAAAAGAAAAGTGAAACTTATTGGTTTAGTTTATGAGTATAAGGATCGCCTAATAGCTAAGGCTTTAGGCGAAAAGGAAAAATTTTGGTTTTCTTGTTATCTATTCACCATATGTAGAATAACATCCATGTATGTTTTGATTGTTAGTGTTGGGTGTCAGATGGATTGTTCAAACTGTTTCTGTGAATGGTGATTTAGATAGGAAAATCTACATGGGACAATCTATAGGGTTATTGTTCCTGAACATGCTTACGGAGTCTATGGTTAGACAAATCATTATATGATTTGAAATAGACTTAGAATTAGTGTCATGAATAATCAGATTCTCTCTCATAGTTTTAAAAGTGAAAGTGACAAGTGCATTTAGAACAAATTTGAGAATGACACTTGTGAAAGTGAAAAGTGCATTTAGTAAACATTCGAGAATGAAACTTGCATTATGAATGACATGTCGATCTTTGGTACAAAGACTCGTGATGTCAATATTGAAAAACCATGATGGTTGAGAATTTTGAATGTGACGGATCTGAATGAAACAAATGTTATGCTTAGAGATCCTAATAACTAGGAAAATACAAGATGTACACCTGCATACATGTTTAATGATGCTAGTCTAAATATTTAAAGAACACCTAAGACGGTGTAAGAAAGTTAGAATATACTAGCATTTACAGCCTACGAGAGGCAGCTGATAAACATGAGACCCGATTTAGTGCGGGGTACTTGGCAGGCTTACTGATTGTCCTAGTATGAAGGATTGAAATGCTATTGAAAGGGGTCACGAGACACCTTAAAAGAACAGAAAAACCTTGGTATCTGTTATCAAAGGTTTTGCTGTATTGGTAGGGTATAGTGATGCGGATTAGAATACCCTATAGAGGACTCCAAGACAACAAGAGGCTGTGTTTTAAACATCGATAGAGAAGCTGTGTCTTGGAAGTCTAAGAAGTAAATGATCCTGGCTCAATCAACTAAGAAATCAGAAATGATAGAACTAGCAATGGCTAGTAAAGAGGAAAGTTGATTGAGAGGGTCACTACTAGAGATTCCCTTATGGGAAAGACCGATCCCTCCGGTAGTTGATTAATTGTGATAGCACCGCAGCTATTGCAATAGAAGGGAACCGGTTTTAGAACGAAAAAGACGAAAAATTCGTCATAAGCACAGTACTGTAAGAGAACTCCTAACGATAGGAGTAATGAGGGTAGATCCTGTAAGGTCCTAACAGAATCTAGCTGATCCTTTGACGAAAGGATTATCTAGAGAGAAATTCCAAAGTACCACCAAGGGTATGAGACTTATGCCTACCGAACCACGGGCTACAAGGGATGGTAACCCGACCCAATAGACTGGAGATCCCAAGAAATGGGTTCAATGGGTAATAACAAGTCATGAGTAGTATGCGAAAAGTTCATGCATAGTGAAGCATGAATCCCAAAGCCTTGGAGTTTGAGTTAAACTCTTAATGAGATCTATACTCTATGTGGAGTGAAGTACTTTACTTTGGGGGTACTTCTGATAGACTCACCTATGTGAATGTGGGAGTGGGGCCGTTCCCTATGGAACTTTGGAGGCATAAACACGAGAAAGCAAGTGAGTTGAAAGAGCTCCGGTTTTCGCACAAAACCGATGAGCAACAAAATTAGAGTGCATGTTTTATCCTGGAGGCGACCGGCTGATAGTCTATCGTGCGCAACGAAGGTAGTGCCGCGAACGTCTTAAAGAGAGCGACCTAGTCCGCGACTCAGCCAGATCGGTAATCCTAATTTTTCCTGTTCGATTTCTAACAGTTTTTGTTGGGAATTATGCTCTATAATGTAATTCCTAGTCAAAGGCTCTAATTTGACCGGTCTCAAGTTGTTAATTTGTTAATCGTGGTAACAGATTCTAATATTGAATAGATCAATAGAAGCTAGTAGAGAACAGATCAATGACATTGGGTTGGTTACAACCTTTATATCAAACAGCATGAGAAAATGCAAACCAAACGCCATAAAAAAAAAGAATGGAAAGCCCATTTTTATTTTAGTCCATTCATTCTTGGGAGAGAGGGGTGCCAATTCCATGGCGCTTGGTTGGAAAAGCAAGGAACAACAAGCTGCTAACCAACCCAATTCCCAAACGCAATGTAGAAAGCAACTCTTTCACTTCCTCCGTCGGCTCACGAAAGAAACAACTCATAACATTCTTGTCGAACAGCGCCACGGCCACAAAAACCACAACACTCACTGTAGCGTGGAAAAAATCGAGGAACCTCAACCTATATTGTCTTGATTTCGCTAACGACAGCTTATTCACGGATCCATCCATCACCCACAACCCACTGAATGTCGCAAGCCCATACCTGACCTTTCCCTTGGCGTCCCTAAAGCTATCGGCCAAGCACTGGAGGAAGCAGGAAAGGCCGCAAAGGACGAGGAGGAAGAGAGCCATGTATGTGCTTATTGCACTCTGGCATTTCCCTTGGTTTGTGAGAATCGGGGACATTATTTGGAAGGTTAGAACAGATCCCGTGGGGAGAAGCTTTGTGAGTAATTCAGTTGCTTTGAATGTCTTCTTCATAGTCTTTCTCGCCCGACGTTTTGCCTTGGGTTTCCTGCGAGGCAACTCCGGTGTTTGTGTTGGTGGTGGTTCATATGACAAAAGGGGTTGCTTGTGTTCTTCAGCTTCTTTCTGGGTTGCTTCATGTTGCTGTATGTTAATGTGATACATGGCTCACGTGTATTTTTCCTTTTTCTTTTGTGCTTGTTTCTTTTCCGACCTTTTCAGCTATTTGGTATCGAGTTTCTGACTTCATTGGCTGTTGATATTTAAGGGGTTTAAAGGATTAAAAAGAATTGTAAGAGATGAATTTTTTTTAGGCAAACATGTAGCCTTGATCTGTTTCTGTTTCGTTGTTGCAAAGTTCTTTTAAATTGGTTATTGAATTAGTTCATCCTTCCTCTATGGTTGTTTTGGAAACAATTATGAACATTTCTACTATGCTATATAGTATTGGTGCTTTAATGTACAACTTAAAGTTGTACCATAACATGAAATGTATAAGTTTAGACTGTACCATAAAAGAATTTGTACCATTATGTTATGGTACAACTTTACAACTTAAAGTTGTACCATACAAGAATTTGTACAAACAGTATAGGTATAATTTAAAGTTGTACCATAACGTTAAAGGTACAATTTCAAGATTATTGGGCCGAGTAGCTGATCCATCCCAGCATGTCCACGAAGGCCCATTGCTCAACCTAGCTACAGCCGAGAAGGATGAGGAAGCAGAATCCATGTTTCCCAGTACTGTCAACTTACCTTCTCCTAGCATCTCTAGGTTACGTAAGAGCCATTGTAAACCCTTGTTGTCATCTGTTGAGAAGGGTATAAATACATCTCTTGTAAGGCCTTTGGCGTAATCACTCAATAAGAAAAGTCTCTCGTTCTGTGGATGTAAGCCTCACTCTCTATGAGAATGAATCACTTTATATCGTTGTCTCCTTTAATATTCCGCACTCCATACTATTTCTCATGGTATCAGAGCAGTAGGTCCAGCTGTCTCGAGTTCTTTTGTCATCATGGGCGACGACGAATCCAAGAATTCCTCCTCGTCTGGTCAGTCGATTCCCAATTTCGGGAAAGACAAGGATTCGTCCTCTCCGTTCTATCTTCATCCGTCAGAGCTTGCAAGTCCTTTGCAGATCGGCGAACCTCTCACGTCATCGAATTATGGCGAATGGGTCATTGAGATGACCGACGCCCTAGTCATTCGCAACAAGTTTGGATTTGTCGATGGGACGATTCCGAAACATACTTCTGATCCTGAGCTTCGAGTCTGGACGAGGTGCGATGCCGTTGTCAAAGGATGGCTCCGCGATGCTATGGACAAGGAAGTTTGTGGTAGCATCCGTTATGCAGCGACATCCCTGGAGATACGACTCGACCTCAAGGAACGTTTCGGCCAGGGGAGCGTGCCTCACGCCTATGAGCTGCGTCGTCTCATAAGTCTTCTTCAACAAGAAAAGCTAAGTGTCTCAGCCTTCTGTACTCGGCTGCGTACACATTGGGAGGAAGCGCAGTCTATATCTCCCTTACCCAAATGCACGTGCGGTCTCTGTACCTGTGGTCTCGAGCATCAAACAAAAGAGCGTGATGAGAGCTCACGGTTGTTCGACTTCCTCATGGGTCTCGATGATAGTTTTGGTACAATTCGTACACAGGTACTTGCTACCAAACCCATTCCTTCTCTGAACGAAGCATTTAATCTTGTCTCAAACGATGAACAGCAAAGACTGCTCACTCAAAAGCGTCGGCCGCAGGTGGAGGCTGCTGCCTTCAACACACGCAACGACTCTGTACTTGATCTTAATGTCGGCTCGAATTCTTCTGAGCCTTGAGAAGGGGGCAGACCGAAATGTCTCCATTGCGGAAAGTTAGGTCATTTTAAGGCCACTTGTTATGAGCTTATTGGATATCCCAGTCGTGACAAGAATGACCAAGGTTCTTCTGGTGGTGGCCACAAGCGTCGTGGTCAAGGAGATGCTCCACATCCGCGCGCTTCTCAAGTCAAATCCGAGAGTCCAGTCTCAGTTCTCAGTTTGCAGCAGCTCGAGCAACTTCGGGCATTCTTTTTCGCTTCCTAAGCCAGCCGAGTCCCCCGCATCCAACATGGCAGGTATTTTCATTTCTGGTTCTGAATGGCTAATCGATTTGGGCTGTAATGAGCACATCGTGCATGATGAATCTATGTTAAGTAGTAGCTTAGTTGATACTTCTAGCCGTCCTGTCAAAATTTCCAATGGGGTTAGCGTGCCCGTTTTGAAAGTGGGTTCCGTCGAGTTATCTGCTGGGTTCAAATTGGACCGGGTTCTCTATGTTCCAGACTTTCACTTTAATCTACTCTCAGTTAGCCGGTTGACTATAGAGCATGATGTGGCTTTGATATTCCTCCGTGATTTTTTTTTTTGCTCTAGGACTTACGATCTAAGAACGTGATTGGGAAGGGGATTCTCCGTGACGGGTTATACTATCTCTGTCTCTTTGATCGTCAAGAACGTCTGGCTCTGGCGGCTGGTGGCAATGATGTGTCCACGGAGGTCTGGCATTCGCGCTTGGGTCATCCTTCTCTCCCGAAGATGGTGCAGCTCAAGCCATTATTATCTTCTAGTTTGATTATTGATCGGTTAAAGATCCTTGTCATTCTTATTATCGTGCAAAAAAAGTTTGGATTCCTTTCGGTTCTAGTTCAATAAAGACATCTGCATGTTTTGATCTTATACATCTGGATTTCTGGGGCGGTTATCATGTTCCCTCTCTTAGCGGCGCTCACTACTTCCTTAATATCGTCGACGATTTCGGTCGTGGGATTTGGGTCTATTTGTTACGATTCAAGTCCGAGGTTGGATGGTATTTGATGATGTTTTGTGAGATGGTTGCTACTCAGTTTAACAGTCGAGTTAAACGCATTCAGATCGATAATGGGACCGAGTTCCAGTCTATCGTCTTACGTGACTATTATGAGCGCCACAGGATTCATTTCCAGACTAGTTGCACCGACACGCCCCAACAAAATGGGGTTGTCGAGAGAAAGCATAGACATATCCTGGAAACCACTCGTGCAGTGCGCTTTCATGCCGGGCTCCCTCTTCAATTCTGGGGAGAGTGCATTCTCACAGCAATGTATTTGCTGAACCGGCTTCCTACCACGACTAGCGGACGGACTCCCTTTGAGATTATATTCTCTTCCCCCGCTAAGTATCAGCATCTTCGGGTTTTTGGGTGCCTCGTCTACGCTAAAGACACCCATCACCATCTTCACAAGTTTGCTGATCGGGGGCGCGCCTGTGTTTTCTTGGGCTACCCGTCTGGTCAGAAGGGCTACAGGTTATATGATCTAGCAACCAAGAAGCTCTTTGTTTCCCGGGACGTCCACTTCCTTCAAGACCAGTTTCCTTTTCGCTCTCCGTCCGCTACTTCTCTCCATTGGATTCCGCCAGATCACTTGCAATTTCCCTCCATCGATGATGATGCCACTCCGCTGGCATCTTCCTCTATTGAAAGAGAGGTGGTCACCCCTCCTGAAGTCACTCCTGTTCAAGCTTCCTCCTCACTCCCAGTTGACGAGACCTCCCATCCAGAAATGGTCACGCCACCTTCGTCTCTCATGGTTGTACCACCTTCCTCACATGCCGACACCACTCCTTCGGCCCCTGCTCCTGCTACTGCCCCACTTCGTCGTGGCGATCGAATTCGTACGCGCCCAAAGCACCTGGACATGTATGATACTACCATTCATGCAGTTCGCTATCCTCTTTCAGCTCATGTGTCCTACTCACGTATGACACCCACTTATCGAGCTTTTTTGGCATCCGTCACTAGTCACGATAAGCCCCGCACCTTCAATGAGGCCGTTCGCCATGCCCATTGGTGGGAGGCCATGCTCCGCGAGATCTCTGCTCTAGTGGCTAATGGCACATGGAGCCTTCTTCAAGTGTTTACAATGGCTCTTATGTAACCTAGACATGCTAGGAGAAGGTAAGTTGACAGTACTGGGAAACAAGGATTCTGCTTCCTCATCCTTCCTCATCCAAAGTTGACAGTACTTTGGGCGACCATAACTTTGTGCTCCAAAATCCGAATGTCATGAATTTTTTTTATTCCGCATAACTTTTCAAGATCTACAACTTTTAATATAATCATAATTTCAAAATGTACATGGATTTCTGAAAAGTAAAGGTAAAGTTATTCTCAAGGTCCCGTATATCCACAAATAGTTCCTGTTCTGAAAATTTCATCCTAGTAAAAGTTGTAGATCTTGAAAAGTTATGCGAAATAAAAAAAAATCGCTACGATCGGATACCCGAGTGCAAAGTTACGTTCGTTTGAAGTTTCGACTGAAGTTAGGAGTTGGTCGAAAAAAAAAATTGGACCAAACCGCTGGTTGGGGTGGCGGTTTTGGGCCAAACCGCCACCCCACCCAGCGGTTTGGTCCAATTTTTTTTTTTATAACCGCCCCCTAGGCCCGCGGTTTGGTCCAAAACCGCGCCCCCGACGAGCGGTTTTCGACCAAACCGCTGGGTGGGGTGGCGGTTTTTGAAAAAGGTGGTATTTTTGGAATTTTTTGGGTTGGGTCGTATTTTTGGAATTTTTTTTTAAACAGTGGTACTTTTGGATTTTTTCCCAAAATCTGAGTAGGCAAGCACATATAATATATCGCTTAGAAAAGAGAGAGGAAAAACAACACAAAAGAAATCGTTATCTGCAGTCTGCAGAGGTTATATATATGGTTTTAACAAAAAAAAAAGGTTATATATAACTTGAGTATAATTTAAAGTTAGGTAACTTGTATAGATCTAAGCCATTAAAATCGACCAAACTTATTTTAAATCACTAATTAAAAAAATAAAAAAAATAAATATATAAAAAAATTAATGACAACAGAGGGTTGCCGTAACCACCAACGCCACTTACCTTTCTCAACTTTATTCTTTCTTTTTTTTTGCATTTAATTGTTTTTTCTTATTTAATTCTTTCTTTTTTTAATTCTTATTGAATTAGAAGCATTACGTAAGCCTTCCGTAATGACTTAGCACTTTACGTAACATGAGATTAATACTCATTACGTAAAAGGACCTTCTATTACGTAAGACTTTCGTAATGACCTTTTACAACTGTTACGTAAAATACAAATCCATTACGTAAAGGTTACGAAACGATAGTTATTT